GTGTCACTGTTTAAAATTGTCACTTCTTTTAAGTTTTTGTCACCTTTTAAATTTGTCACTTTTTAAGGAAAAAAAAGGTGAAATAATATGTTATATTTTTCTAACATAATCAGCATGTGGATTGGCCTAGATATGCTGATTATTTTAAGAACATAATTACTGGTGCTGCACAAATGGATGGTGTTATTTTGGTATGTCACTTTTTTTAAGTTTGTCATTTTCTTTGAGGTTGTATCATTTTTTGAGTGTATGCGCCACTTTTTTTGAGTTTGTTTCTTTTTTTAAAAAAAGTAAAAAAGTGATAATTTTTATAAAAAAAAAAATGACATTGTATCACTTTTTCATTTTACACTATTTTTTACTTCCTAAAAACATTTCATATGATTTTTTAAGACATCTTTAATTTTAAGGGTATTTTTGTAAGTATAAAAAAAAAAACTGAATCAAAGATTCTCGGCTTGCAGGCTTCACGGATCGGCCTGGGGGGACCCATGGCTTAATTTTATTTTATTTATAAAAATATATATATAGAGAGAACTCGTGGCTGATTCGGCTCGACTGGATACTACGTCAAAAGGGACATGGGCTGAGCAGGCCTGGCTTCTTCGTCAATAGGCCTGGCCAAGCTTAGCTAGTTGACAAATGGATTGAGCCCGCTTTGTTTATTGGGCAGTAACGAGCTCGAATGGCCATGAGCTCGGATAGATCCATTGCAAATCCTAGGATTGAGGGATTTTCTAACAAGGCAGACAGAAAAATAATATATTTATTTATCATAAAATATTTTAAATATTTTTTTATAATAAATATTTATTTCTTTTCAAACAAGCTAAAAAGGAAATGGGGAGATATTGAGTGAGAGTTCGCATACAAAGGAGTTAACACAAAGAGGATTGTACATATGATATATCTATAGCATATTGTGTCGTGCACGGAGGAGTTGTACATGGGGCTTAGTTGAGGTTCAGTGGCGGGTTGAACTTGGCCGAGGGGATAGACATGCACGGGAAGATAGGTCAAGGTCGAGGTTTGCGTAGGGAGAGTTGTGCATTGGGTGGCTTAGGGCTGGTGCACATATCATATCCTTTTATGAATTGTTATTAAATTCGGATCGGTCCAGTCGGAGTGCCCGTTGAACCGTGACCCGGATCTTTGACCGGACATGATAGGAGGATTTTATAGATTAAAATAATTTAATCTTACTTCATTTTATTATATCAAATAATTATTTTATGAACTTACTATGTATGGCAAAGTTTATTTTAGTTAAGAAGAACTGAATATATAATGACATAATTTTTTTGTTATAACTAATAAATGGTTTGTACAGAACAAAAAAGAGAATATTATTATACTTTCATATAAAATACAAAATTATAACTCAAATTTAAAGATATAAAAATAATTAGTAGCAAATCACTTTAAAATTTTAATTATCTCAAAGAAAAATATTTCATATTTTAAATAATTTTTAAACAATGACCCACTGATCCGACCACCGATTCACTGGTCCAACCAATGACCGATGACTCAGTACCTCGAGTCGATGTCCAGATCAAATCTAATAACTATGCTTTACTTTTAAGATTATATCCATTTATCAATTACTGACTTTGAGGTATTTTAAACTTGAAATACTAAGTTGAAGACCTTTTAACCAAATTCTCCTTCAATATGATTTGCATTGAACCCTCTTCTTCCCTTGCACAAGAAAGCACTAAAAGAACAGCAAATTTGGTCAAAGTTTATCATTACTTGACACCCTAGTCCCTTCTCTGAATCTTGAACCTCGCATTGTCTTTATCGCTTTGATAAACCCAATATTCTAAGCTAACTTTAATCTTTTTTCTTTAACACAACAGTGCTGACATGAAAAGGATTCAAATTGCACGCTTGCCTGAATCTCTGTCTCTCACCAGAAAAAGGAGAGGGAGAAAGGGAAAGTTGAAAAAGAAAGTGCAGGGGACCATATGAACAAAAAGGAACAATTCTGTCAGCACTCTGTGCTGTACCAGAATGAAAGAGACATCTGTAGAGACTACCTCGATTTTCGATTGCTCGTTTGGATTTCATTACATGTCAGTGTGATAAAAACAAGCAGTGGATACTAATTGCGAATAGTGTCAATGGAAGGCAAACATGGGCTATGTATTTTTCAGTCTTGTAGAATTTCAAACTGATGTCCCTCCAAGTCATAAGCAATATCGAGTTAGAATTTGTGAATACGAAATGAGTGCAGTAGAGACCCAATGATGGTCGAAAAGTGAACATGTAATTTTACGAAAATAATGCATGTGTCAAGCTCCCAATGTTGGACGAAAAGTCTTAAACATATAAATTTACGAAAATAATGCACTTGTCGGAGAATAATACTGACTTTCGAATTAGTTGAAATAGATGGACAGGACATACATCCAAACAGATACGAGGTCAAGTTCAGAACCTAGTTATATGTTATATGTGCTTTCAACAAAGTAGAACAAGTACATAAAAAAAGCTATAGCTACCGAATGTTGCAAGGTCTTTATGCTCATCTATTGCATTTAGACAAAGGACCAGTTTACGAACATGAAAGCAAGGCAGTGATTGGAGTCATCGTCGTTCAGAACCTTCCACGCAATGGCTTGTTCATAAGCAATAGGCCTGCCCATGCTCGAAACACACACTCCTGCAGGCAGATAGGCGAATCCCTGTATTACAAGAAAAATAATAAGCAAACACAGTGAATCTTCTTGCTAAAAACAATGGAACCAGGATTGCAGTGACATTTTGAAAATAAAAAATTATCAGACGAATTTTGAGGGACTAACCTGCTGCATTATCTTGGAGAACTCTGAAAGGAGTAGCTTTCGGCCAGTTTCGTCCAAAATCCTCTCGAGCATTATATCCTGAAGCGCCACAAGTGTAGTCTCAAGCATGTCGAGACCTGCCTGGTTTGCAAATGTGAAAACCGCAGACGCCTGCAACCAGAAGTTAGTTGGTCACACAGTGTTCTCTCTCTTTTACTCAAAACATAAGCCTAGACTTTCTTAATTCCTATTTTTTTTAAGGCATCACTAACATTCATTTTGACAGAGCAGCACATGATAGCATCACTATGATGCCACAGTTGTTTCAAAACAGCATCACCAGCTTCCGAATCAATCTGAAGGAATTCTCCCCCGGTGTGCATCCTGAATACAAAACGGGCATTAGAAAAGCACGAGCATTTGTCTACTACGGACGAAGATTGGCTTTTATATGCATAGTTTGTATTTTAAATATTTTATTCAGAAAATCTTTCATGGCAAAATCACTACAAGTATAGAAGAATCCAATATGCAACAGACTCGAACAGTCAAGCTTGTAAACAATCACTGAGGTCCATAATTTATCAAAGCTTAATTTAGTACAAGGCTTATGCTTTCTTAGTACATCAATTACACTCTAATGATGCATCATTGTTGTACTGCATGGAGCCTTGTTATACTATCCATATTTAGTGTTATATTTCCTATTATTTCTATTAGATAAAGAATAACAGGTGGGGCTTTTTTTAACTTAAGAGTGAGAGCCTTGACATCTCAACTGTAACTTTCTTCTATTTTTTAGTGAAAACGAGCAGTGAAGAGTGGACGTAGTTCCTCACATTTAAAGCGAACAATGTAAGTGTCTGTGTCTGTGTTTTTGTGTCTTTGTCTGTGTATTTCGTTTTTGTTACACTTAGTTTTGCTCTTAAATTTAGCAAGGTCTAATCCACATAACAATCTCTAATATGAATCGATTATATGAAGTTATACCTATAGCTCCTGCAAATCCACCGTGCCAATGTAACAGCCTCTGGTGAACCAGGAAGAGTCTTCGGTACCATTTGGGATTGGGAGCTGAGTCGAGATGGAGAAATTGCCATAGCAACTCTCTAAATAGAGCTCACGAGACCACGCACGTATCGACGGGATATAGCAGCTACAGTGTCTTGATAGTGATTTTCAAAAGTAAATTGGAATGCAATAGTCAAAACAGACCTAAGACTCTGATTACACGAATCGACTTCGCCAGCTGTACGAGCTCCACTAGGTCCCACCTCAAGGGTAGATGCCAAATCCAATGTCCGAGTTGCTGCAGCCCCATCCTTCATCATGATCGAGATAAAATTATTATACAACCTGAACAAATACAACAGTCACTTGAAATTTAATAACATTTGAAAGTAAAAGGTCACCCAACTGTTTTAGCATCCAACGGTATAACACGAAAACCAGATGAAAGCAAAGGAGCATCATCACCGAATGATTCATCAATTGGTGCAAAAACGAGCTGAGCACAGGCACCGGAAGTTGACTCATCAACCCCATTACATAGCTGCCATGGTTACAAAATTAAATCAATATCATAAAAGTTACATAGACCCCAGTCTCTGTCTTTTTTATTTACAATAACAAGATATTAAAAGAAAAATGTCTAATTAAACAGCGAACAAACCTGTAACAAGTACATGTCCCGTGACAAAGCTATGTCCTCTGGTGAGAATGCATGACCCTCTAAGCGAACCACCTCCAAGAACTAGGGTCAAACAAAAAGATTTCACAGATCATTATAGTGACAAAAAATGTCAATGCAAGACTTGGCGTGCATGTCTGGTATGCATACTAGACAGGACTGACAAGCATAGTGAACAAAATTTTAGCTTTTATTTCTTCCTTGATTAGTCAAGTGCTACGAAATCCTTCCTACCGAACATGTTAGACTTTTACTCAATGTCAAAGACAATCATGTTGGGTACCTCTTCGTGCTCTACAGTCTGGGCAAGAGGTAAAATGACTTGGCTGCCAGGAAACCCGCTAAGCCTTGCACAAGGAACTGCATAAGGACTAGCTTTAAGAGATGCGGCAGAATAAGCATCAACCTCATAGTCAGCCCACTCAGAACGATGCTCCCTCAAAAAACGAATAAGCAATGCAGGGGGAACATTCTGTGTAATAAATTACCAAAAAGTACACAACATTAGCTGTCAACACACTGCAACTGCCAACTGTAAACAAAATAAGTTGGAAACAGCCTTCTTACAAATCACTCAACAAACCCTATTTCATCCTTATATGAAAACAAACCTGAACCAGCATTGATGCTCTAGCACAAAGGACGCCCCCAAAAGAAGGGAGCATGGACAGAGTGTTGTGCTGGGAACCAAGAAATTTGCTCGGAGATGAATTTATGGCAATGGTTACATCTTCCACCCCATCACCACCCAGGATCGACCAACCATCATCGACAAACCCATTAACAGCATCATTAAATCCCCTGATACAGTCCCAAAATTGTGAAATGTCGAAAAACAAGTAAATGGAAACCTTTCAAAGCTACATCAGAATTATATATGAAATATCTGTACAGTAGATAACTACTTCAACAGGAAAAAGGGAATAAGTGTGTGTATTACCAGTGAGGTGCCACCAAAGTACCCCACCTTGTCTTGAAAGAATACTTTGGACAATATTTAGGTTCCGTTTTTTATCTTTTTAAATTGATGATATCCATAATGTTTTAAAACACATTCCAAGATTTCTCACCTACATAATCTTTGACTCAATGCCCTCAGAACAGCAGGCTGGCGACCGCCACTGCATTGAATTTCTCCATTGGTTTCTTGCGCAATCTGTCTTATGTGTCGCAAGGCCTGAATGCAAAATAGAGAATATATTGAGTATCCAAGAAGGCACAAAGCTAAGCAAACAATGCGCAGAACAAAGAAATTCTTACAGCCATAGTCATCTTCTGTGCAAGGATTTTAGAAGATTCATAAAGTGGCCTTAGAACTTCAGGAACACTCCACGCCTGTATAAAAAAAACAACAGATATATTAGGAATTAGGAGAAAGAAATATTACATAAAAAACAAAAAACTAGATGAATTTATTTCTCACGTCCAAGTCAAAATGATCAACAATGTGAACAATGGAGCCACCACCCTCACAAGGACGTATCAGGCAGCCACTAGGTAGCATTTCAGCTCTTACAAAGCATGGTGCTGTAGGCCCTGTTGGGGCACCACTGGAAGATGTTAAAGACCTCTCGCATATCTGCAAATTAACATTTACTAGGTTAAAAAATGATACATAATTGATGGTCAGATGCCGTCTATTCCATCTTGCTAAATTAAATATACCAAAGTTATAGCTAAAGAAATTTTACACAAGGAAGTCTCCTTTGAAGGGAACGTGTAAGGACTCAGCTCTTATGCCCAAACTGTTAACTTACGTACTGAATGAAACTTGTAAGGGCTCGGTTTCTATGTCCACCCTATTAACTTACAGTAGTCCACTTTTGGAGAGTCTAGCACATCTTACCCATCACGGATTTCTATCGCGTCCGATTCAAACTCGAGATCTCTATCTTATGTAAGACTTAAATTGAATTTTGGTATCAATTGAGCAATTAGCTCTTTCGGGACAGTACGTAAGTTAGCGACTTAGACATAGAGGTCGGGTAGTGGCAAGGGCCGTTATATCACACATATTGTCCGCTCTGGGAGAGCCAGTCATCTTATCCCTAACTTTTTATCACATCTCCAAGATTCGAACCAAAGACTTTTATCTTATGAGAGACTTAAACTGAATCTTGATACCAATTAGTCGTGAAGGGTAAGATGGGTTTATCTATCGTAGAGCAAACAATACGTATAGGTAACGGCCTGGACACAAGACCTGGGTCGTTACAGAACCCAATTCACTTCAGCCACTATCAGCAAGTTTTAGCTTTCATTCATTCTCTCTTGCAGTTGCATGGCTAAACAGACAACTTTCTAGTAGCAACTACGAATTTAGTAGTAGAATTTTTCAGAATTGTGCTCACCACAAGACTTCCATCTTCCAAACTTGTAGTATATCTCAATGTCCAAAAGTCACGAGCCGATGCCAATGTTGTTGGTGCATAAGTCTAAGAAAAAAAACACATTGAAAAGCAATTACACACGCTGCTAGAAGCTAATAAATTCCAAGTTCAAGGATTGAATTTTATGCAAAGACAAAAACCTGCATATATATGAGCTCTATAGTCCCTCCATTTCCTGTAGGAATCACGTTCACTACATCAAGGCAACGGCAATCGCGAAACCAAGAAAGACGATCTTTTAGAATCTCAGCGACCTGCGTAAAAAAGTTTCTAGAGTTTTAATGGAACAAAAAATGTTAAAGCACAAATCTTTGACATTTATAACAAACAAAAAATGGCAGAACAGACAATATTACCTTACTCGGTTCGAGACTCACGAGACCGCAGGCTCTTGCTGCTACCCCACTACAGTTGCGTGAAACAGCAACAATGCCAATAGAATCCGGACCAGGCTACAAGAAAATAAAAAGCTTCAGTTCAAGGTACACGATGTTAATCCAAATAAACATCTGAAAAGAGAATCAGAATCACCACAAGGAATGTAAATATATACCTTCATCCCTATCATTTGGACCCAGTCGACAGCAGTTCCAGTAGCCTTTCCAAGGAACTCTGCCAGGGTCTCCTCAGCTATAGCAAGAAGACTGAGATACGAACGGAAAAAAAGAAAAAAAAAAAGCAAGCTTCAGTTAGAAAGTTAGTGTTTAGACCAACAACCCAAAATACTAATGGTGTGCTGTTCAGATTGGAAAAGGAATCATCGTCAATTACCCAGATGGGCTATTAGCATCCCTTTCTGGATGCTGAGGTGCTATGTTTTTCTGTTGTTGTTGACCACTCATAACGACAGATTCACAGCTAGTATCAGTGGTCGGTGCACTTACCTATTACAAACAATAAAGGTGAGATTCATTGCAAAATAAACAAGGCCAAAAAATGAAGAAGAAGAATAAGATTTGGTAGTCACAGATAATTGCTGATTTATTCAAGGAAATTCAACGAAAACATGAAGCATTATTCAAGGATGTGAGAAAAAATTATACTAAGCTCAAACCAGAATTCCTAGTAGGCTAATAAAATAAGAAAACTCACTGTGTGCAATTGTTGGCGCATATAACCATTTTCATAAACCAGCTGTGAGACCTGCTTCTGAAGGCGGTCATTCTCTTCCATCAACAGCTTGTTCATGGCACTCAACTTCCTGTTAACAGTCTGGAGACGAGACGCTTCCTTCCTCTGCTTTTCACGGCATCTACAAAAGAAATTTTTTAGTAGTTTTTCTAATCGATCGCTTTCAATAATTCAGTTCTTAGACCATTCCTTTTTATCTCAAGGAGACGATTCAACTAGTGACCAGAAGAACAATTTATGATAATCTTAAAAGAACACATTGCTTTTTAGGTTTGTAGAGTGAGGTAAAAACTGGATCCATATCATGACAATTAACTTATAAATGTCACATAATCTTTTCGACCACTTTGCTCATATCAAAAAGCTGCCATAGAGTTGAGGTAACAAATTTGATATCAAACTTTGAAGGAAGGCCACTGACAGAATATGAATTAACTTGATTCGGTGCAGCAAATGAAAATTGTTAGAAATTTTATTAGATAAAATCAACAAGAACCCCCAAGCTTTAAATCAAATAATTTTAAATCAAGTAGAAGTTAGGAAGTCACTAAAACAAAAATCAAGAACATGTTAATTAACATACAGAAACCTGGATGATGAAGACAGATAAAAACAAGTGAAATAATTCAATTACACGTTGTGGTCATCACAATATAATTTTGCTTATTAAAGAATAGAATAATAAAGAAAATAGAAATGTTCAATAATAAATTAAAATATATATTTAAAAAAATGCAGCAAACCAACCTTATCAAACTGCATTTTTTGACAGAAAAATTTCATGTGCATTCTCAACATTCTATGCAAACTTCTGGCCTTCAATAGTAAAGAAAAAATAACTTCACCAAAAAGGGAAAGCAAATCCAAAGCTAAGTGTTGACCAAATTCTTTGAACAATCTAACCGAAAAATACATTTAATACACGGCCACTTCCAGTCTTAAGGCAAGAACTGAAAAGTGCCCTTTTAGGCTTTTCTTGTTCCCCAAAAAAAAAAAAAAATGGAGTTCAAAAGGATAAGAGACATTATTAAGAAAGTAAATATTTTTCCTGTAAAAACAATTACAGAAAGCTTGTATTCAGAAATAGTCATTTCTGAATCTACAAAAAGGTAAAGATATACAAAAGATTGGGAAAATAACAAAACTTGGATTCAACGAAAAACATTAGACACCTGGAACACACCTCATAAACACCAGAGATAAAGTAGTGATTTTTGGATAAATAAATACCTGCGGTTTTGAAACCAGACTTTGATCTGTTTAGGTTCAATGTTAGAAAGAATGGGACACTCTCTAATGAGCTGTTGCCTTCTCAAAGAAGTCGGTTTCGGGCATTCTGCGTAGACTCTCTCCAGGGCTTCCACTTGCTCTGGTGTGTACCTCACATACTTACTAGCATCCATTTGCTGTTTACTGTAACTTCCGCAACTATTGCTCTCTCTGTGCATCAAAAGTGCCATTCAGAAAACCTCCCCCAAAACTCTGCGTGTTTGTGTTTGTTAAAGAGTTTGTAGATGTTGCATGAACAGGCAGGGAGGCTCTCTTCCTCTCTCACTCATCAAGACTGTGATATGGTGAAGCCAAGAAGAAAAGAGAGAGCTCAGTTGGTATGGAAAGTGAAATGTAGAGAGAGAGAGAGGGTCTCCTTGTCTGTATTTTAGACAGCAATTTCGAGAACTTCAAAGAAAATGATTAAACTAAAATAAATATTAACTGTTTGTTTGAGCTGTTAAATGTCCCAATGGTCACTGAAATTCTGTCCGTTTCTTTGTTTGTTTTTTCAAAGTTGAAAATAACGAGTTTGGCTATTAAATTTATTCAAACGACCAACGTTGCCCACGACATAACATTCGTTTCAAACCTTTAACGAAATTAATGACTTAACTAATAAAATGCACATGTGGTGTCAAATTGTCACGTCTTTGATTATTCACTTAATTTTAAAAAATATTTTCGATTGCTTACTAAATTTTGAAAAACATTTTCGACGGCTCACTAAACTTTGTGGTAGTTGAATTTTTGGCACTAAGCTTATAAAAATAACATCAACATGTTGTTTATTAAAAAATGTGTAAAGCAAACAGACAGATCGCGTAAGAGTAATAAAGTAAACAAGCGAGTTCACTTTGCCGATTTCACGATAAATGATTACTCAATTACACAATAATAAATTTAATCTTAGCGTATTTTTGTAGAATTTTAAATTGTTTTCATCATTTTAAAAATTCAAATTTATTATGTGTTTCGTTGTTAAAATTAAATTAAAATTAAAATTAAATTTTGCAACGAATCACACGATAAATTTAATTAAATGAATTTTGAAAGCGAAATAGACAATTAATCAAAATTAGGATTTTTATAATAAAACACAGAATAAATTAATTAAATGGATTTTGCAACGAAACACGTAATAAATTTAATTAAATGGTTGTTTCGTTTCAAATGATGAAAATAGTTTAAAATTCTATAAAAATTTAGAGCCCTGTTTGGTGCACATTAAGCCCATGTTTGAGCCTCATTCTTTCTCTTTTTTTCCCATTCATTTTTCTACAGTACTCATTTTCAATTCAAATAAAATAATATCACACACAAATCTAAAATTTTTCATCACTTTTCGACCACACATTTTTCCATCAATCACTATTCAAAAACTAATTGTTCTTTAAAAAATGGGAGCCAAACACCCACTAAAATGAGAGAATGCATTTTTTTGAAGTGATGTGATGGGGAATATCGGTTGAAAAAAAAAAAGAAAAAGTTATTAATGTGATGAAAAATATTATTTAATTGAAGAATGTGTGATTGAAAATGAGTAAAAGAATGAGAATAAAAAAAATAATGTGAATCAAACATGGACATATTAAAGAACTCATGGGTTCAACAGATGATGGATTGTGTTTCTCGTGGGATCGACTAATCGGACTCACTTATCCACTTTATTACTTTTACATGACACGTGTGATTGTAGTACACATTTTTGAACGAACAACTGGCCGACATCAATTTTTATAGGTTTAGTGGCAAAAATTCAATCACCTCAAAGTTCAATGAGCAATCAGAGTCGTCTTTCAAAATTTAGAGCAATTGAGGACTTTTTTAAAAATTTAGCGAGCAATTGAATACGTTTTAGTGAGCACCCCATATGCATTCTGTTAGTCACGTCACTAATTTCATTAAAGGTTTAAAATTGATGTTTTAGTGAGTAACGTTCAACGTGTGAATAAATTTAGTAGTCAAAACTAGACATTTTAAATTTCAATGAGCAATCGAAAACACAAACATAAGTTTAGTGACCATCAAGACAATTAACTCTTTGAGCTGACATATTATGGAAAAGTATGATGCAATTTGTAGTGGACGACTAGAATAGTTGCCATGCGTGATATTTTATGCGGCAACTTGTTATTTTAGGCATTAATTTCATGTAATTTTGTTATCTCAAATTACGAGCTAATGCATTAATAACAAAGTGACACATATGATGGCTACTGCAACCGTGACTATAAGTAGCATTACTTTTTGAAAAATTATATTTTATAATAGTGATATTTTGAAATTGTACAACTTACAATATTATTTTAATGAGATAATATGTGATTGAAAATAAATTTTTAGAGAATGAGGCTTTAACATGAACTAATTAGAGCAGTAAAAGTATTACGATAATGAGCACATGTGTATAAGAGATTTTTTCAAGTGAAAAATGATTTTTTTAGAATGCGTGTTTAAAAAATAGAAAAAAAAAAATTATGAGTCCTCTAAATGTGTAGTTGGAAATAATTTCAAACAAATTTTCCATACAAGCCCTAATACTTGAAGATAAATTTGGAGAAAAAATTCAATCTTTCATAACATAACATGTTTGGTATCAAGCATAACATGTTTCCTTAATTTGGTAGGAGAAAATAATTTCGAGAGAAATAGAATATAAAATTATTGCAAAAAGTGATTTCTTATTTTATTTTAGTTAAATAATAAATAATGATGAATGAGAATTGTGTCTATATTTTATTTTTACTTGGATCTATAGAAATTTATTTATTCTACAAGAATTAAAAAAAAGTGACCTTCAAAATCCATGCAAAAATTAATTATGATGCTTGGCAGGAATAAAACAAGACAAAGACAGCAATTACATGCACTAAAGAATTCGTAGAACCCCTAATTAATTTTTAATTTGAAAACATGCATGCTCCCCTCAACATGATATCATTATTACGCTTTAGGCACTAATTAATTCAATTGTTGGACCTGATTAAAATAGTCATTAAGCATGATATTAACACATTTTCTACTCCGGATTAATTTTCCAAGGTAAAATTTCCAGACATCTGGCTAATTAATTTCGAACTAAGTCTTAACGAAAATAAATGAAACTCAATTCAGTATGATATCAGATTTCTGGCACTTTTTATTTATGAGATTTTAGCCTCGGCTTGGAAAGGTTCGGAGAAACTTTCTAGTTATGAATCGGATACAAACCAATGGATGGCGTTTGGTTACAATTTCGAAATCATTATTAATATGTTTTTTTTAGTTAGAATTTACGAGCAAAAATCTCGTAAGTGATGAAATTAAAAGTAAAAGCATTTTGATTTGTCTTAAGTACGAGGGATTGGATTTTTAAAATTAATATTCTCAAACAGACTATTAACTTATGGGGACATGTTATAAGTATTTAAATTATTCGTTAAAACAATTTTGATTTTAATGATCATTGGTGATTATCAATTAATTAATAATGTCTGGCGAAGTGATGTGACAGATGTAAAGTGTGGGAAAATTGAGATTAGGCAACTACTAGCACAAAAAAAAAACTCCCACACTTTGCTAACAAAAATAGGTCATATTATTAGACTTTAGCCCTTGTTTGATCCACATTAAAATTTTTAATTCACATTCTTTTACTCATTTTCAACCACACATTTTTCAATAAAATAATATTTTCCATCGCATCAATAATTTTTCTTTCTTTTTCAACCACACGTTCTCCATCAATCTATTATTCCAAAATATATTTTTCCAAAATAATGTGGCTCAAACACACCTTTAATTAGAAATATTTCAATTTCCCGGGAGAGACATCATGAAATAATCGTACCCTTTTGGCTTGAACGATAAAAAAATTTACGAAAATAATTTTTACACTCTATTTTTTAAAATTAAAAATTGCATCATATTGTTATGTTATAACAAAATAATAAATATATTCAACCAAGACTCTCAAAAACATGACGAACAACACATTGTGTTTGCGTGTATATTCTTGTAAGATTTCACCGTTATGTTTGATACATTGAACTGCACTATATCATATTTGAATTAATATAGAAAAAAGTTAAAATTTTTATCCGTTTTACTTTACGCTATTGTATTTTTATCTTTCGATAGAAGCTAAGTAGCATTAAAAAATTTCATTAATTAGGGTCCTATTGATATGATTCTAACATGCCACATTAGGAAGAAACAATGTTGGTTAAGAGGCTTTAATCTCAAGTCTTCTCACTAGACAAGTCTTCTTTGTTTTATATTGTGTTGTTAAAGGATTTAGCCTTAGAGATAAGACCTAAAAACCCTAATATATAAAAGGTCGACAGGCAACAACCTGATTAACTTTTGTCTGAATTGAAAGTGTTCCCCACCACTATCAATCCTTCATTAGAAAGAATCCGAGGAAGAAAGAGAGAGAGGTGAAAAGCAATTGACTTTTAGATTTCATAAGGTTGACATTTGGCCTAAAGGGTTGAAAATTAAGCATCCAAAGCATATACACAAAAATAAGATCCACAAGGATATTGGTGGGGCTCAATATATACACAGATTCACTTGGTGTCTGTTTGCCTCCCCCCAATTACTACGCATGTCGATGAAACGTTTTATACTTTTACGAAAGGTGTCAAAATGTGCTAGAGTCGTAACAAATAAACTCGAGCATACCAGATAGCCAAGTTCACCAAGCCCAACAAGCTATCATACAAGAGGCCGGATCGTCTATTAACGATTCACGATATCAGCGGGCATAGCCCTACACAATCCGATATAGTTAGTACTGAATTTGTGTCCAAGTCATTTTCTATTTTATTGCAGCATCTTCTTTGAGAAAAAAAGTATAAGGTATCAATGGTGCGGCAGGTCCACAGAGGCACGTATGTTCCAACATAGCATTGCTTGATTTTGCAAAATTAAACTAAAGTGGAGGTCTCTTTCCAGCCCCAAAAGCTTTGAGTGGTGTCCCTGTTTTGTCATGCATTAAAAGTGTGTGCTCAGCCTCCTCCAACCACCCATCATGCACGTCTCTTTATTCAAATCCACTTCTTAGCTTCCATTTTACATCTCCCTCCCTCAGCTCCTTGTTTATGTATATGTATATGTACATGTATGTATGTATGTACGGGTCAAGACCTTTTTCTCCTCAATCCATGGGCATGTCACGATATGTAGGACCGAAGTCAACACTTCATTTCAGAAGAAAGTATGCCCTTGTCTAGTAGAGATTAAAATCTTAGTGGCTGTTTGGTGAGGATTAAAATTAGATTTTTAGTAGATTGTGATATAAGTTTTTGAAATGTGTGGTAGAAAAGTTGTGGGACTCATAAAAGACGTGGTTAATATTGATTGTTTAACTTTGACTTAAATTAAAATCTGATTTTAATCCAAACAAACAGGACCTTAATTTTAATTCAAATCAAAACCAACAATTAATTTTAATTACAAATTTTATGAGATTCACAACTTTTCAACCACACATTTTACAAACTTATTATCGAAATCTACTAAATATTCGATTTTAATTCCCACCAAACAATGACTAAATATATAAATTGTGGATGTATAGAACTATAGATGGAGTGAGAATTTTCTTGGTCCATAGAGGAAAAAAAAAATGTAAGACTGATGCCAACATCTCATAATGATAAATATACAAGGACATAGATACGATATGTATGCAAACAAACAAAAATCTAGCTTTTCATTGCTTACATATAAAATATATATATCAATTGGAAATAGTCATGAATGTGGGACCTGCAGGCAAAATTATTTCTAGGGGTCCGTCATAATTTCCTCTTTGCAGGAGCTGTGAAGGAAGAGATCTCCCATTCCCTAAACCTGTGTTTAGTGCGTGTTTGGCTGAGATAAAGTATCAACTGNTAAATTAAATTAATTTAAAAAGTAAAAGAAACAAAATGTATATCTCATGTTTCATTGTCATCCAGAATCATGTGTAATGTTTTATTGATTCATTACGACTCTTAAAATAAGTAACTTTATGTTATTTATGAGAGAAAAAAAAAACTAAAATATCTTAAAACGTTCGAAAAATAAAATATTTAAAGATGTTTGTTGGTATGTGTAATTGGTCATAAGGTTTCCGACAAAAATTACATGTCCTTTTCTAGTCCATGCACGGATGAACAACAACCCAATTTCCCTTTCAAATAAGGGGGTCAAGAAAGGATTATGAAGAATCTCTCGAGACCAATCCAAACAACATAAGAATTTTAGGCAAAGTGGAAATGATTTAAGGTTAGAATTTAGATAACTTTGGAGTTCAGATAACATAAAAAAATAATAATGAGGTAATTGCGGTGGCTTGAAATTTTTAGTAGCCAATCCTTCCTTTGATTGGGACATAATTGACATATCGTGTGTGTGTAACATGTTTGCACTTGTTACTTATTTGAAAGAGCTTAAAAGGTTGAAATCAATATTTAATTTTAACCACGCATTCAATGGATCAAAACTTTTCAACCAACATTTCATCAACTTTTAAAAAGCATTTGGCAAACAACCCCTTAGTACTCATGTATCGATGCTTGTTTGAGCAAACCCTCCTGTGCAAGGTTGCTCCGATACTTGAAAGAAGCGGCTGCACTATAGCCCCATTGCCAGTTCAACGATCAAGTTCGATGAAATGTAATATACAAAGGATGTGAAGTTGAAAATAATTAGGGAAGTCAGAGTGGTCCATGGGCTTAGTCGGCCTCGGGCGATGTTGTGCTCCTTCTCATAGGATCGGCGCATCACCTGGTAGACAGACTTGCATCTTGAAGACTGGTGCAAAAGTTAACCACACTTGGTAGACTAAGCATCAATCTCATTCAGAATATAACAAGTAGGAACCATTATGCTTCACATCACCTTATTTTATTTTCTTCGGAAAACAGAATATAATCATAGATTCTCTCTAAATTTATTGATAAATTCTCAAGTAGCCAAACTTCGATTGCAAAAGGAAACAGCAACTCCGTTATCACTATGTATGGGAGAGTGCATAAGTTAAACCCTTACTTGAGAAGAAAACTGCTACTGCACTTCGAAAATTCACCACCTGCAACAGTACTGCAACTCCCTACAATGAACCTATAACTGAATTTGTACATAGAAAGCTAAATTACGACAACACAGCGTTAATCAAATCATCACGAGGCACTTTCTGAGGAAGCGAGATAATTTTTTTCCAGGTTTAGATTGATGTTGGCCGATTTATCCCCTGAATCCATCTCTTTCTGCTGGTTCTCACTCTTCTTCTGAAAACGACCCCCCATTCCCCGAGCTCTTTTCAATGCATGCAAATGTCGAGATTCATGCAAGTAGGGCTGCAAAATCAGTCGGATGGCAAGCTCTAAAGTTAAGGAGCTGAAAGATATGGCCTCCCAGAAAAGACTATAGTATATATCTTAACAAAGACCTCAAGATCCTAGCAGTGCATCTGAGCTTTTGCCTAGGTGTTCTAGAGAATATTTTCTGGATCCCTCAAGTTTCATGTTTAAGACAATTTCAAGAGAAAAACATGAAGGATCTAACTATCCAAGCTTTATAAACCTCCCGAGTTATGATATGTAAGCAAAAGAAAATGGAGTATAAGAATCGAGGACACCGATAAATTAACAATGTTTTGCAACAGTGAATTCGAATAATAAATTGATCTAGAATAGAAGTAAACAACTCCATGCAATACCTTCCGAGACTTGGCAGCTTTATTCTCTGACTCAGCTTTTGCGCGGGATTGCCGACGTCGCATTATGCCATGGTATTGTTTTGCATTGACAAAGACAGGCTCCTCAACAGCATCAGAAGGCAACGGAACACTGGCTTGCTGAATTCCCATCAACTGAAGGTGGACCTGAATCGAGAAAGAGTTGTAAGTTCAAATCTACAGGAAAATTCCATTACTGTGAGGGTATTACATGGGAATACCATAGGTTGGGATGGATAAGGTTGTGAAGGATAAGGCTGTGCATCATAGGGAGCAAAGATACTTCGGTAGTAAGGATCTCGATATGGGTAAGCTGTTTGTGCCTGTAATTTCAATAAGAAAAATGAGAAAAAGTAATCATTAATACTTACATGTATGTCAAAAATATCTGCATTTCAGCATCAGAAGATCAGATAAAATAGGTCTGTGAGGAAAAAAAATGTCACAGCCGAACCTGAAATCTTTTGTGGTTAATTTCATACCATTTAGTGTTGCACATAAATTACTTCGCCAAACATTAGACTGTTTTCACTTTCTTCATTCCATTCTTGTTAAATACAGATTAGCGATAATCATTATTTTATGAGAACTAGAGTTTTTTAAGGGGCAGTTAGCAGTTCCATGGTCTTTCAAGCTAAATTGTATTGACAAAACAGCCACCATGCGAGGAAATGTTTAGGTCTTCTACGCAGCGGAACAACAGACATTATTTAGGAAAAGACTCAAAAACAGATGATTTTGTGTGTCAAATCAGATCCTGAAGCTTTTAAATCTTCGGCAAGCTAGCAAGGTGTTTGCAGTATTGCAATAATATAACAATAATTCATCGCTTGAAAGAATACCATAGCATTTCCAAGTCCAAGGGCAGGTGATGCATAATGCATATTTGGTGATGAAATGCCAGGATGAGTGATCCCAGTATCCAAAGATGACTGGATTTGCGGCTCAGAGTGTTTTTGTTGCTCATCAGCCTCGCTATCTGAAAGTCAATATTCTATTTAAAATTTAAACATGTAGTTTTTAGGTATAGAACTAACCAGTAAAACAAGAGACGTGATAAGAGCACAAGAAATAAACAACGCAAATCCAGTGTCAGATAACAACGTAAACCCCATGAAGTCATCCAATAATGTCAGAAGCAAAAGAGCTTTCAGAAAACCACCTACATGACTGAATTATCACAATCAAAGCCGCAATAATTTCTTCTAAACGTTAGAGGCTGAGGGCATTAAAATTCTGGATAAAAAACGATGGCAAAACATAGCTACTTCACCAAACCCAATTTTGTGCCATTTATAGTTAATACTTGTCCCATTGTATTTGCATAGAGCAGTTCAGATTGCAAGTAGTACTGAAAGAAAAGGTTCGCCATTGGTTGCCAACACTCATCCATACATATCCTTGCAATTCGAACCATTGCATCTTTAGTTCTCTCATCAATAAACTGATGCTCATCATACACACTTAGCATCAGATCAAGATACAATAACTGGTGTATAAGATATAACACACTAGCAATCAATATTGTACTCCAAAAACGCTATTTATTTCATTAAACTATTTCCTCCATATAAAGTTATAAACAAAAATCTGAGTTTTGTAACAATAGATTAATATCAGTCTTAAACCCATTTTTAGTGAGCAGATCTATTTCTATAATTATCCAGATGCAAGTGTAAATGGATAATTTTTACTGCCAGTTTTCTGTTCCTGGCTTTGAGCCGGTACTCCAACGTCTGTTTGCAGTAAAACAAGCAATCTAGATAAATGATAATTTGAAGCAATCTATCTAGAACTTAGAATTGACAACAGAATTGAAAACCCGCCCACTGAAAGCATGATTTCCTGCAGCATCATATCTGCTTTAATAAAGTCTGAAGAACTGGTCCAGATACTCATTTTATGAATGAACACTTGTAACACGCAATTGTTACAAACTTACACCCAATGCATCATAAGTTTGCTGCTCCAAAGTACGTCTCTTGCAATTTCAGAAGAATTTATTTGAGAGAATCCATGTAAGATAGAGAAGCTGCAGTGCTTCAAAGAGTCAAATTCACTGCACTTGTGCACAAGATCACAAGAAACAACCTATCATCCAATGATACAACAAGCACTTGTACAATATGACTTATGGAGACCGGGCTAATAATGTCTCTGCAAGATCTCTTTCTGATAAGAGTGCAGTTCCATTTAAGCAAAATAACCATGGAATTTGCATATCAAGAGTGCAAAAAAGATCGTTGGAACAAAATGCCAAAATTTCTTATATTAATCAACATAACCAACGGGCATGAGCAACGCATCCTAAGCACATTATGTACGTTAGATGTGAACCACAAAGATATAGAACGGAAGTATAAAACACCATAGAGGTGTGCACCGTGGACACAAGAAACTCATGAAAAGAGGTCATTTTCCAAAGAAACAAACTTCATAATGAAACCGACTCCTTATAAAATATTGAAATAATTAAAAAATTGGGAAAATAAAAGGAGCCCCTCATGCTCTTCCTTCTGAAATAGGTTTTTTCAGTTAATAAATTCATACAGATGATTACTCGAATTTCTTTGTAGGACTCGTGTTTATTGCTTGCAATCCAACACTATCATATCACCAACTAGAAGTTATGTACACGTCAATAATCATTAAACTATTCAGGTTCCTTCAATCTAACAGGTTCATTACCCCAAAGTCGATGAAAAATGGCAATCAAATTAAGCACCCCCTCCCCCAAACAGACACACACACCCGAAAAAACATTACAAAAATTTCAATGAAATTACCAGTGAGGCTATGAACAGAAGATGTCGTCATAATGCTGCTTCTTGCTCACAGACCTGGCATTGCGGAGACCAGAATGTACATTCTTAATACTGATCCGTACACAAACATACTCGTATAAACACATAATTTCACGTATACAAAACTAAAATTTTAAGAACCCAAGCTCATTCGTCGTACGAATCATGCTTGGTGTACAATCATGGGTTATAATTTGGTTTACAACATGCCACATGGCATTTCCTCGTTGGACAGTTTCCACGTCTAAGTTGTTTTTGCGGCCACTAGTTTTTTGCCAACAAACAGTCATCCAAATTGTTATCCATGGTTGTACAAATAGATTAATCCATCATCTAGCAGTGTGTGAGCTTTAATTTCAAGCTCTGATATCAAATAAGTTGATAAAAATGTAATTCAAAGTCATCAATTAATTTTAATCTCACATGACCAACAACTTCTATCAAAATCTACTAAAAATCTGATTTTTAGCAAAAACAAAACATAGGTTTACAATCAAAAACTACAAAAATTTAAAATCAAAAACTAGAAAAAGTTACACACGATTTACTTTCAATAAACATGTCAATAATAATCAGCTCAATCGGAATTTCAATTGAATCGAAGCGGCTCAAACAAGATTTAAAATTCAACTAATTTTATCTCCTAAATTTCTTTTACACATTCTCGGTCACAAATTTAACCAAAAGGCGAAAAAAAATTTAAAAAGCAAAGCGGCATTCCTTGATTGAATACAAACTTAAAACATTCAATGCAATTTTAATATAATTTGAAAGATTCTTATTGTTCAATAAGATCTGTACCTTAAGATTCGCGGATTAGGAATTGAAATTTTACCTGGGGAGAGAAAATTCAAAGTGCCAAGGATCTTCTGAGCTTTCTCTCTCTCTCTCTCTTTCTTTTTCTCTCACTAGAAACTCCGGAGTTAGGGATATTATTCTCTGTGGCAGAATTGCTAGGTGGAAAATTGTTGCCTGCGGCTGAGGTGAGAAGTCAATTTTACTCATATGCCCTTCCACTGCCACGTGGATACACATATTGGGTTTATTTTAGCTATTTTATTATTGTGTTTTTCATTAAAAATATTATTTTTCCACCAAAACTCTTACTTTTTTTTTATATTTGATTGACAAATTTTTTCATGAAAAATATTCATTTTTTAACTTTTGATCATGTAATCATATTTTTCTAAAAGATATGAAAAATATTTTCTTTGTAACTTCAGATAGTAAAAGTACACAAAAGAAAAATATAAATTATAATTAAAGAAATGATTGTGATATTTTTCTGACTTTTTTCATTTCTTGCATTAGTTTATATTGTTATAAAATATTTATTATACATTCGATTTCGTTCGTCATTGCATATAGAAAATATTTAAGTCGAGATGGTTAACAAATAAAAAAAGTAAAGAAACTGTGACTGATTTGTGATATTCAATATCAAAAATATTTTTTTATATATCGTCAACATAGGATCATCTCAATCTTGAAGAAACAAATAGATGACTCCAATTTTTTCACATTATATGAAAAGTTTTTACCGCCCGAATTGAATACAATCGATGAAATTTAATGTAGATCGACAAGCTTGCATAAAATATTAAATTTTGACAATAAACTGGTTGCAAGGAATTTTGATCCTTTGAGGTTGAAAATTCTAAAATTGTGACTACAGAAATATTTCATTAATTCTCCAACAAAATAAGCAATCTGCTTATATAATTAACAGCATCGAGTGACTATTGCAAATGTTATAACCAATAAATAGAAAAGAAGAATACATGTTAAAGTAAACTTATAATTTAGTGGATGAAATGTGACAGCATAAGTGACAAGCTGAGGGCCCAATTGGAATATGCCAGAAGAGTAACAGCTCGTGCGGGTGCATTAGATCCGCGTTGCAGAGTAACAAATTGCTGACTGGGGTGGGGTTAAGGGGGTATGTTTATGAGAAGTGGAATATGTGGGTGAGGGGAGAGTGGTCCCCGTTTTGGGCAAACAGATCATGGATCAAAGGGAGACACAATTTCAGCCATGAGTTCATGTGGGCCCGCCTATAATTTAGAGGAAATTACACTATACGAGTAGTTTAGTTTTAACTTTCTAAAAATCAGGTTTTAACTTTTTTTAATCAAAAATCAGGTTTTATTATTTTTAATTAATAATAATGTTATAAAATAAAAATAATATATTATACCCACCCTACTACCTACTCCCCACCAATAAAACCCGAACTCTATCCAAACCCTAACATAATCCATTTCATTTCTCTCAACTT